AATAATATGATCATGTTATTAAGTGCAGAAAAATGTTAACAAAATCAAACATCCATTTCTGACTTTTTCTTTTTTTTAAGATTTATTTATTATTTGAAAGAATTGCACAGAGAGAGAAGGAGAAGCAGAGAGAGAGAGAGGTCTTCCATCCGCTGGTTCACTCCCCATTTGGCCGTAATGGCTGGAGCTGGGCTAATCCAAAGCCAGGAGCCAGGAGCTTCTTCCAGGTCTCCCATGCGGGTGCAGGGGGCTGGGGTCTTGTGCCATCTTCTACTGCTTTCCCAGGCCCTAGCAGAGAACTGGGTCAGAAGTGGAGCAGCCGGGACTTGAAACGGCGCCCAAATGGGATGCTGGCCCTGCAAGCAGTGGCTTTACCTGCTACGCCACAGCGCTGACCCCTCTGACATTTTTAAAAAGTAAAGAATAGAGGTCAAATTTCTCAGTCTGATAAAGAGCATCTATGAATGGTGAAAGGTTGGAAACTTTTCCCCTGAGACCAGGAGTAGGCCCAGCAGATCCACCTCTGCCAATTCTATTTAATTTTGAGACAGAAGTCCTAACCAGGGAAGTGAGTGAAGAAAAAGAGATAAAAAAGCTTTCGAATTGAAAAGGAAAGTATGAAATATCTTTATTTGCAATGACATGGTCTTACCCATAAGAAACCCAAAGAATATTCACACACTCTGAAGACTGTTAGAGCTAGCAAGCTCATTCATGAAAGTTGCAGGATACAAGATCAATATACAAAAAATGTGTTTTATGAACAATCAGAAATTCACATGCTAAAAAACTGTACCAAATGTAATAGCCCGCAAATGAAAATCACTTGGGTATAAGTCTGACAAAAGATAGAGAAGCCCTGTACACCGAAACTGCAAAACATTGCACAGAGAATCAAAAGAAGACACATGTAAGGAGAGAGAATGGGAGACTTAACATCCTTAAGATGCTTTTATTTAAAAAAAAATATTTATTTTTATTTATTTGAAAGAGAGTTACAGAGAGAGGTAGAGACAGGAGAGAGGTCTTCCGTCTGCTGGTTCATTCCCCAGTTGGCTGCAACGGCCAGAGCTGGGCCCATCTGGAGCCAGGAGCTTCCTCCAGGTCTCTCAGGCAGGCGCAGGGGCCCAAGGACTTGGGCCATCTTCCATTGCTATCCCAGGCCATAGCAGAGAGCTGGATTGGAAGAGGAGCATCCGGGACTAGAACCGGCGCCCATATATGATGCCAGTGCTTCAGGCCAGGGCTTTAACCCACTGTGCCACAGCGCCAGCCCTGTTAAGATGCTTTTCTTAAAGTATTGACTCAGAGATGCAGTGGAGTACTAATCAAAACCCCACTCCACTTTTTAGAAATTGACAATCTGGATTTCAAGTCATATAAACATACAAAGGACCCAGAGCAGCCAATTTCAACAATGTTGAAAAAGAACAAGAGTGGAACATTTATTTCAAGGCTTAGTATAAAGCCTCAAGAGGAACATTGGTATAACGGTTTAGATGCTACTGGGACACCGGCATCTGGGTTCAAATCCCGGCTCTGCCCTCAATTCCAGCTTCCTATCATGTGTACCCTGGGAGGCAGCAGGTGATAAGTCATGTAGCTGAGTCCTTGTCACCCACGTGGGAGACTTGGATTTAGCTCCCAGCTTCTGGACAGCTGGGGAGTGAACCAGCAGACAGAATCAGTCTCCCTCTCGCTCTCATTCTCTCTCCCCCTCTTTCACTGTAATTCTGACTTTCAAATAAGTAAACTTTTTTTTAAAGATAAAAAAGAAGATATAATTAGTGAAACTGGAAATTCCTACAAAGAAATTTACACAGAACAGAGATGAAAACTGTGGCAGGCAGTGTAAGCGTGGGAGGTTGAGTGCAGAGCCCCAGAGTGCCCCTCACAAGGTTTTCAGAACTGGAAAATAAGGGGGAGAGAGCATTCACTGGGAATTCTGCAGAGTGACAAAGGGCTCAGGGCCTCAGCCAGAAAGCACAGACAGTGTTGGATAGGAAGATAACCATAAATCCAAGCCTAAGTCTATGGTATTCAGACTCAGAGCAGCGAAGGTTAAGGAAGACATTGGCAGAGCTGCCAGAGAGCAAACACAGGGTACTTACAAAGGGAGAACTAGAAAGGCAAGAAGGAGCCAGCGTAGACACTATTTTTAAACCCTAGGTATAAAGAGAAGTGGGGAAAGTAGGTTCCATTTAAAACAAAACAATACAGAAGGATTCTTTCTTAAGTGGAGACTTAACTCAGTTAGGAAATGTTGGCGACAAAGTTAACAGAGGAGTGAGTGCAGGAGAGCTCTCTGCTGTGGCCCGGGAGTGCAGTGGAGGATGGCCCAGGTCCTTGGGCCCTGCACCCCATGGGAGACCAGGAGAAGCACCTGGCTCCTGGCTTCGGATCGCTGCAGCGCACTGGCCTTGGCGGCCATTTGGGGGTGAACCAGCGGAGGGAAGACCTTTCTCTCTGTCTCTCTCTCTCTCTCTCACTGTCTAACTCTGCCTGTCCAAAAAAAAAAAAAAAAAAAAAAAAAAAAAAAACAATTACACAGTATGGCATAAGAGCTGCTGTGAGGGGGCTTGGGGCTGCAGAGGGGTGGGTGTGCCTTGAGGCCGGCTGGTGGGGCGGTCTCTCCAGCAGAGGGGTGAAGGTGAGTCTGAAACCCCTAGGGGTCTCCCGTCCGCTCTCAGGACCGCTCTGAGGCCAGCCAGCCTGAGTCTCAGGTGAGACAGCTCCTGGTGTGTGTGAGCAGGATCTGGAGGCCAGGGTGGCTGGAGACAAAGGATGACGGGGCTTCAGAAAGTGTCCAGAAACAGAATTAAAACATAAAGTGTATCTAGTTTCCTGCTGATGTGCTCCCGGGGGCTAGAGGATTTGGGGCCCTGGCAGCCTCGGGGAGACCTGGACTAAGTTCCCAGTACCCCCAGCTTCCATCTGGCCCAGCCCCAGCCATTGCAAGCATTTTGGGGGCGGGGGTGAACTGGAGGATGGTAGATTTCTCTATCTCTCAAATAAGTAAATAAACAAAGTTTTTTAAAAAGGCTAATTTTGGCACAAAGCATTTTGAAATCCATGCATGGTTCTTTCCTAATGCATGTTTTCCGCAAACTCTATGAAGGCCCTTCGTATTACAAGTTGAGGTTGAGGGGATGGCATGGTGGCTTACGTCTTTCTGGAGCACCGTGTCTCCTTTAGCCTGTGGTGTGACAAGGCGAGGTGGTGGCCAAGCTGAAGGCAGAAGGAGGCGGCGGAGGCAGGAGGAGTGGTTGTTCTTCCCCGAGTGGCGTCACTTCCGTCCCAGGCTGATGGGCGGGCGTGAGGGACGGTTCAGGCGTCAGGGGAGAGGCAGTAGAATGAGTCGCCACGAGTAGCTGCCACCCCAAGCCTTCAGAGTCAGGCCTGTTTGGATGTCAGTGCTCTGTGTCCCACCCATCTAAATATCTGCATTTCCCCCCCCCACCACCACCCCCCCCCAAAAAAAACACACACATCAGTCTTTCTGTATTCCCCTCTCCAAGCAGCGGTCTGCCTTTTGAGCCCCAAAGACTCTGCACCCCATAATTAGGTCTCACCAGCATTCCCGCCAGCTCTGCAGGGAAGCGTCTGGCTTACAGACCTTACAGATGGAGGGCTTGTGCATGGTGCATTTCTTCACGTGCCCAGGATACGCTGTTAGGATTCATGAGCGCGTTGTATATTCAAGGGGTGTTTGGGAGGCAGAGTCACGGGAAGCTGCCACAACCGAGTGCCCGGTGCGAGCCGGCTGGCGTCCCATCCCCGGGCAACTGCATTCTTCCCCGCTTGTTGCATCTGTAGTCACGAGGAGGAGGCGACTCTTTAAAATCATGAAGGCAGATTGTGGCTGGGTTTGTTTACACAGGACGCTGTGTTTACGGGGAACTTTATCTTTTCAAATGGGAGCGTTTTGCAAATGCGATGCCTTTGGCTCCCTAGCATCTGTCAGAAGCGTCTTGCCAGCAGAAAGGCATGGATTCCGCTGAGAAGCACCTGCTTCGTACATCCAGAGTCTGGCACTTAGGCACACCGGTGCAGCCGCACCTGCGGGCGGAACGCAGTGGGGAGGGTGCGTGGCTTCCCCAGGCTGTGCCAGGACAGGCATCCATTGTGCTCACCCTTCCTGCGTGGGCTGTGCTTCAGCAAGGCCAGTGTGGAGACCAAGGACTGGCTGGCTGGTTCTGGGGTCCGAACAAATCAGAGCTGAGCTCTCCACTGTGACCAGTTTACCTGCAGTAGTATTTAATAACTGGGGAGTTTCTCCAAGGTTCTTTCGTAGACTTCAATTTTATGAGCGTTTTAACCCATGCACTTTTTAAAATCTTCTCGTGGGGCAGGCATTGGGCCTATTAGGTAACACGCCCAAGTTCTACATAAGAGTGTCTGGGTTCCATAACAGTACTGACTCCAGCTTCCTGCTAATGCAGACCCTGGGAGGCAGTGGCGATGGCTCAGGTAGGTGGCTCCCAGCCACTCAAGTGAGATACCTGGATTGAGTTCTTGGCTCCCGGCTTTGGCCAGGCCCAGCCCCAGCCACTGACGACATCTGGGAAGTGACCCATCTGATAGGATCTCTGTTTGTCTGTCAAATAATAAATAAGCAAATAGACTAAAATAAAATCTTCTGAGTGCATTGGCTTGTCACAGTAGTCAGAGTACCCAGTAGTACTCTGACAGTAGTCAGAGTTAGAAGACTTCACAGAAGACTTGGATCAAGCCCATGCCCACAGCAACCTTGGGAAAGCTGTTAGCCCCTGAGAGAGGGGCTGCTGTGGGGGGAGGGGGAGGCAGGGCTCCCTGATCGCTGGGGATTTGGAAAACGGGAATGCAGGTTGTGAGAGTTCAGCTTTTCCACCTCTGCAGGGGTAGGATCCGTGATGGTGGCATGGCCTGGGTGGCTGCACAGAGAGGCAGTGAGCCCTGACATAACAGTGCAGGAGGTGCAAGGTGCACACTAACAGTTCAGTCCGCTCTCTCCAACCCAGCTCCAGCTGCCCACTCTTCGGCCCAGGCTCAAGACCGACCCACTGCCACCGTGTCGCCCCTGCGCACCCCAAACTCTCCGTCCCGCCTGCCTGCCACCAGCCTCAGGCCCCGCTCCGTTGCGTCCCCGCAGCACGGCCACCAGCCCCCAGCGCAGGTGTGCCCCCGGCCGGCCATCCCTCTCTCGTCCGCAGCCTCAGCCATCACACCTCCCAACGTCAGTGCGGCCAACCTCAACGGGGAGGCCATCAGTGGCCTGTGCATGTCCAGCCCCACCAACACAGGGTGCAAAGCCGATGAGAAGAAAAATGAAAAGGTAAGTGACCCACTCCTGGGCCCTGGTCCGGCTGGTTATTTTAGCCGTGTGGCACTGGGTGGCAGTAGCACTCGTACAATCTAGGCTTGCATGTGGGTCCCGAGTACCTGCTCTTAGATGCACAGGCACATGACAGAGATGGAGGCCCCACCAACAGGGCAGCTGTGCGAGTAGCATCGGGCCAGCCTTGGGGTCCAGCAGGGTCTACCTACACAAGCCCAGGTACCATTTGCACACAAGTCCTTAAAAAGTGTGCCCTCCTCAGGTTACCACCTGCTGAAAAAAATAAAATCATTGCCGTGCACCTGTCTTGTTAGAATAAAGATACTTACTGCCCTGTGCCAGGATGTTGTCCTAACAAACCTAGAAATCTATGTGTGTGGTATGAAGAGCACCACTCCCTTCCGTGGGTCACCCCTTGAGCAGTGTGCAGCCTGCCCAGCTGTCTGAGACAGGCTGAGGAGACACAGAGCCGACAGGAGCATGCTGATCCGATGGCATCATTAGCTGTTCTTGTGACTTGGAGGAAGCTGGGCTGCTTCCATAAAAGAGAAACGGAGTCTGACAGGCTTGCCCTGGTGGTCCTGGACTTCAGGCCAGCCAGGATTAGAATCTAGCACTGCCTGGCAGAAATGTACTGCAAGCCACAAATCTAATTTACAATTTCCTAGTAGCCATGTTTATAAAGGAAAGTGAGTTTAAAAATAAGGTCAAAAAGTGAAATTCACTTCAAGGGCATATTTATTCGATTAGACCCAACATGCAAAGCATTATTGTTTGAACACGTGCTGTATATGTGTGTATCAGTGATTGGCGAGGAGGTATTTTGCCTGTTTTCACATGAAGTCTGTGAAAGCCCTGTGAAATGGGGTGAGTGCTTCCCCCGTGCTGTGCGCGGCTGGTTTGAGGCCAGAAATCGTCCTGTTTGCTGGCCTTCCTGGGCTAGTGGTTTAGTGGCCGTCTCTTAGCTTGAGCACGCTCTGTGACTTCCAGCCCTTTCCACGGGAAATCAGTCTTTGGATTAGAGTGCATTTGCCAGGGTTCCAGGCGTGTACCCTGAACGCTCGTGGTGTGTTCACAGCGGGAGTAGCCTCTCCCACTCCTCTGGGGGAGGTTAGCAAGGCTTCCTTGACCAGGCAGAACCCCGCCCACCACCCGTCCTCAGGATGCGGGAGCCAGAGTGCCCCAACAGACGAGACTAACGGGGCCTTCCAAGCTGTGCAGGAAAACCAGGGGACGTGGAAAGAACCCCAAGGCTCCCCTCGCCGCTGTGGCGTGACTCTCACTGAGAGTTTCTGGGGTACAGAGTCGGGTCTGCAGGCGTCTGTGTGGGGAGCGGTGCTCGCACTACCCGTGCCTTCCTACGCGTGCAGCTGATGGGATGCAGCCGGGCTGCTTGTACCTGCGCCTGCGAGACCCTGGGCTGAAGCTGTGCTTCCACTGGAGGCTTCCACTGTCCATCAGTCCTGTAGTAGCTGCGTCTCGGGGACGCCCACGGGCCCCTTGGAGGACGCCCTGCCTGTGTGGAAGGCAGCAGGCCACAGCTAAGCATCCTTGGCAGAGATGTGCCAGCCCCCAGGGCAGTCCACGAAATGCTGTGCGTGGACTTTGCTCTGTCAGGCACAGGTCTGGGAGCTGGGCTCAGCTTGGGGAACGGCCTGTCACCCTTCCCCCCACCGTGACTGCAGCTGTGGGAACTCAGCAGTCGTGTGCGTGTGCGTGTGCATGTGCATGCGTGTGCGTGATGAGATCTTCTCAAGCGGTTGGCGGTGTTCTCCAGATGCTGCTGCACTTGAACTTTCTCCAGGGAAAGCAGTGAGCGCCCAGCTCTGCTGTCCGCTGTGGTTCTGCAGTGTCCAGTTCTGCTGAAACCCCGCCCAGGTGCTCCCGGGCGTGTGAGAGAGAGTGCGAGAGCGTGGCTGAGGGGTCCTGGCGCCCGAGGCAAGGGCGGGGGACTTTCTCTCGGGAGCACGGGACATCTGCATGGTACTTACTGCAACAGTGAAGGCTTGGGGGGCTGGGGCTCTGCTGTCATAGACCCACCAGGCTGGGGCCTCTGCCACCTGCGGCCAGCCCAGCCTGACCGGGATGGTGTGGAGGACTCTGGGGACAGTTCCAGTACTGACAGGGTGGCAGTTCTCTCCATGGTCCAAATCCTGAACCAGAGCTGTCCTTGGGCCCAGGGCGCCTGCCAGTGTGTTGCGGGAACCTCTCCAGATGCCCTTCCTGCCCTCCTGCCTCGTTACAGGTGCTCCCTGCAGGGGCTGCCTGTGGCCAGGCCATTAGCACAAAGCCATAACCCCCCTTCCCCGGGGAGCTGCGTGGGCAGCCGGGGCCTGGCCAGCCCGCCGGAGACAGCCTGGGAGTGCTTTCTGGGCACCATCCCGGTCTGTTTCCTGCTGCGGTGACAAAGTCCCCAAGACCGGGTGATTTGTGCAGAATGGAGGCTTCTCTGGCTCGTGGACTTGGAGTGGCCCAAGAGCACGGCTGGCGTCAGTGAGTCTTCTTGCTGCACCAGCGTGGCAGGGCTACCGTGTGGTCAGACCAGGCAAGCTGCCAGCTCAGGTCTTGTCCTCTTGTGACGCCCCAGATGCCACCACATCGTGACCCCTGTGACCTCATACAATCCTAACCACTTCCCAGAGAACCCTGCTCCAGCTGAACACATCTGAACCACAGCAGGCCCCAGTGCCGGGGCAGAGCAGGGGGAGACCAGGCCTCGGGTAGGAGGTGGCTCCGGCTCAGCGATTTGCTCAGCTCTGGACAGCATGGGGGACTTGTCCAGCATTTGGGTGCCTTTGATTGCCCAGGGATCCTCTGCCTGCACTGATCCTGGGTGGAAGACGAGACTCCCCGGGGCAGCTCTGAAGCTACCAGCCTGGAGCAAGTTTCCAGAGCTGCTGCTAAGTGCGGGGCACCCCAGGGCTGCCTGCACCCCTGTGTAGTCTCCCAGCCTAGGGCGATGGGAGGTGTCCTGGGCATGGGGAAGAGCCAGGGCAGGAAGACCTGGAGTTGCTGGACTTCAGAAGGCACAGGGAGTGGGCATCACTGTGGTCTTCTCATCAAAGACTTGGCTCAGGTGCCTTTGTACAGGGTGTGGGTCCACATCTAGAATGTGGCACCCAGAAGTCAGAGTAGACGGCAAATCTGCTAAGAGTTTTAAGCAGATGATCTATAGGATTTTTTTTAAAGATTTATTTATTTACTTGAAAGTCAGAGTTACACAGAGAGAGAAGGATAGGCAGATATAGAGATAGAGATGGAGAGAGAGAGAGAGAGAGGTCTTCCATCCACTGGTTCACACCCCAATTGGCTGCAACAGCTGGAGCTGTGCTGACCCGAAGTCAGGAGCCAGGATCTTCCTCTGGGTCTCCCATGTGGGTGCAGGGGCCCAAGGACTTGAGCCATCTACTGCTTTCCCAGGCCACAGCAGAGAGCTGGATTGGAAGTGGAGCATCCGGGACTAGAACCGGTGCCCATGTGGGATGGCAGCACTGCAGATGGCGGCTTTACTCGCTATGCCACAGTGCCGGCCCCAGTATATAGGATTTAAGTTGTCCTTTTGCAGCGGGAGAGATAAATTTTGTGCTTGAAACAACTCTCCGATGCCAACTGTTTTGAGACTTCATGAACACGTCAGCACCACAGGCTATGGAGCAGGCTGTTACCCACGATTACTCCAGGGAAAGTCATCAGGAGACAGGTGCCTGTGCACCTGTCACTCACTCTCACCTGTGGGTTACAGGGAGGCTGGGTGTGGCTCAGCAGAACACAAGGTGCGGGGGCTCACAGCAGCGCAAGGCTCGGCCCCGGCGAGGGGACACAGAGTGGACCGTGGCTGGTCGCCAGTGAGTGTCAACAAGGCGATCGCAGGAGAATGTGACAGGCTCAGTACCAGGAGCCAAGTGTCACAGAGGAGGTGCCCAGCCAGCTGAGCTCGGGGCAGGGAGCGACCCCCCGGGGGACAGCAGGGAGCACCTCCCAGCTGAGGGAGAGCCTGGACAGAGGCTAGAGGATGTGGCCCGGAGCGGAGGGGCCTGAGCCCCTGGGGCAAGTGGGCAGCTCTTGTGCCGCACTCAGCACTGGGATTTCTGACGGCGCTGGGTAAGCGGTGGGATCTAAGGTCTGATCCAAAGGCCTTGTGCTCCGGCTCCCTGGGAGCTCTCAAGCCCTTGCGCCCCTGCCTGGCAGCCTGCATGACGCTCTCCTTGCTGTCATGGTTCCTGTGAGACACCTGCCTTCCCTGTGGCCTCTGCCACAGCATTCTTGCACTGCAGGCTTGAAAAGGAGCCATCTAGAGGATTTAGACCAACGTCTGGCCAGTTTCGCAAAAGCCTCAGAGTGCTTGACTGACAGCCCCTAAGGACTGTCTCACTCGTAGAAGGCATCTGGTGACTTAAGAGAATTGGGGGGCCAGCGCTGTGGTGTAGCGGGTAAAGCCACCACCTGCAGTGCTGCCATCCCATATGGGCGCCGGTTTGAGTCCTGGCTGCTCCATTTTCAATCCAGCTCTCTGATGTGGCTTGGGAAAGCAGTGGAGGATGGCCCAAGTCCTTGGGCCCCTGCACCCACATGGGAGATCTGGAAGAAGCTCCTGGCTCCTGGCTTCAGATTGGCGCAGCTGCAACTGTTGTGGCCAATGGGGGATTGAACCAGTGGATAGAAGACCTCTCTCTCTCTCTCTCTCTCTCTCTCTCTCTCTGCCTCTCTTTCCCTCTGTGTGTAACTCTGACTTTCAAATAAATAAATCTTTTAAAAAAGAGAGAGAGAGAGAGAGATTTGGAAAAACTGCATCCAGTTTAGTTTCACTCCATGACTCACGGACAAGTCTGCTAGCTGTCTGTGTTTGGAGGTGACAGTTTCAACTTCAAAGAATCATGGTGTACCGGGACTGCAGAGAGAGCCTCTCAAGATCTCTCCCCTGAGCCCCTCACTTTCCGCTGAGCTCCTGGGGTTCAGCAACATTGAGAGACTTGCCTGGGGTCTCACAGCATTGGCCA